TTCAGCACTCCAGCTCCTTTATTTCAGAAGTTACAAAGTTGTCTGTGCCAGTTTGAGGTTTATTACAGTGCTTTTAGATGCTTTGGCCACCCACTGGTATACTACGTTTGATAAGGCTTGATCGAGATAATCCTTTTTGACCAAAAAAATTTTTGCCCTTGCGCTAAATTTAACTTTCTTAAGACGCTTTTTCTCTGTTTTGCATAATTAGTGCTATTACCGGATTTTCTTGACTATATTTTTTAGTTTTTCGCCAAATGTCTCTCCTCTGTTACCGGTTCTCTATTCATCCTAGCCAACTTTGGCGCCAAATGTCTAAGTGCTTCGAGTTCTCTTTATCGTGACCCTAACTGTTATTTTATTAGATTAGTGAGTGCCCCGTTTGTATGTGTCTGTGTGTCTGTGTAACACGTCGCGTCCTATACACATTTCTATTAATACATAGTAAAGTAAAAGGATAATGCATAAAAAGTAGGTGAGGCTCTGTGGAGCCGAAGCTCTCCAGAATAGGAGTAGTAGTTATGTAGAAGAAGTAAGTCGCAGTAGTAGATCGGTAGTGGTGACCCCGGCAATGGGGAGGGAGTGCTTTTATACCCCATGGGACAAAGATCGAAAGTTTAATGAGGGTAGGATGGTCAAAGTTTGAACCAGGGACAGAGGTACTGCGTCATAGTAACGCAGTTGGTCATTAATCTATTTTTAACAAAAACCATTAATCATTATTTGATATATTACGCGATATCTTCCTTCCAGTGCACATGATTCTGGCAGCATCTTAGCATGAACACAGAGCGTTCTGATTTCTTACCTCTCAGGTGTGCCACTGCGTAATAAGATCATTCCCCACCATGCTGGAAACGTTTGTCGCTTTGTTATTCCTAACAAAGCCATCAAAATACTTGAGACTAGGCAGTTGTTTGTAAGTCTTTGCCTAGTCCTCAATACCCGGAACAAATCTGTACACGCTTGGCAGTGTGCGCAGCTTACTAATTTTTGCAAGCAGTTTTGAGTGAGTTACTAAGCTGTTAAATGAGCTGAAATGTCTTTTTTCTCTGTTCCATCTCACTGCCTTTCTGTACGGTAAAAGCAACTGTACAAAGCTTGCCAGCTAGTAAATTTGCATAAATTTTTCGTGACATTCAAAATTTGCATAAAATTTAACGAACCCTCCACTCACCCAAATTTACATGACCCAGCCAACCGACAAGGAAACTATAAGCTGTAAAAATTCCCATTAAAAGTTTTACGTGCTAGAGACGCAAACATATTTCGTGAAAGCTGAATTTGAGACTTTGGACGATGAACATTCTTCCAAAATTTCAAACTCGCAGTTCTCCGCCTTTACGCGGTTACCACGTCTCCCCGGGGGATGGGTTTGAGTGTATTAACACCTACTTGGACAGGGAACATCATACTATGATATCAGCATTCTAGCTTCTCAGATCCCCGAGTTATGAACTTACGCCAAAAAAGATTTGGGTCCTACAGTCATGAAGTCCAGCTACTCCAGTCCCTTCCCTTGCCTCGAACGAAACTCGCAACATATCAAACCCCCTCCCTCGTCCCTCTGACATACCACATTCGAAATCCCGCCATTCGCCCCACAGGGTAGAATTGCCCGACATCGTAAGAAAAAATTTTTCGCAAACCGTGTATGTCGCCGGCCGATCCGAGTTTTAGCATAATTACCCTACCAAATAGTGTATTTGTTGATTTTTTACATTCTAATATATGTTTGCTTGGCGACCGGCACTTTGGCGTAGGTGTCAGATTCTTTCATATCAACACCAATTATATATAGCCTGACCGACGGGCTTGCTGGCACTTTGCATCATTTTCGTTTTCGATGCGTCCAGGTCCACTTCTCCATGTTTTTCCCACTTCTCTAGTGATTCATATTTCTGCACGCTTGTGTGTGTGTGTGTATCGCGAATCGGACAAGATAAAAAGCTGAAACTTTGCAGGGATATTCTTTGTGCATGTGTGTATGTGTGTCAGTGTTTACAGCTAAGGAATGAAACACAGATTGCTGTAGGATTTGTTTAATGGCGTATGCATCGGTTAGCTTCAAATCATGCATTTTGGGTCTGATAGATGTACGACGTGTACATGGTTTTCTTGCTGCCAAATCAGTTTTTATTTCAGGGATGTCCAGTAGATTGAGTTTGGATGATGCGTACAGTTTTCTCATCGATAGTTCACTGGTTGAGCCGATCACCCCGTTTCGGGTTTGTTTCTTTTTTTCACATTCTATCATCTTACGTGTCCTCTGCTTTTTATGCGTTTTTCTTTGGCGGGAAACGATTTCGTGATCCAGACAAGATTGAAAATGAAAACTTTGCAAGGATATTCTTCGTGCATATGTGAGCTAAAGATTTCAAAATCAGTTGTCGTGCACATTTATACCACGCACGCGATTACGTCAAAGTTCGCAGTTGGCATTGTGCTGAAGCTGGAGAACGGTGGCTGAAATTTTGTCACCGTATTTATTATTCATATTGAAAATCATATACCTAAATTGAGGTCCGATTTGCACTTGCGCCACGACTTAGGGCATTTCAAGGACGCGAAATGGCTATTTCGCATATCAGCCAAGCTGCGAAGCTTAAACTTTGCAGAGATATTCTATATTCACGTTTGGTCTTAATTCAACTTGGAGGTGAAATTCCATGCACGCAGACATGATAAATAGTCAGTTTTATCACAAACTCAGGAGCTAGTGCATTTTGCAGATCTCGTAATCCTCTTCGGATTTCTTTCAAATTTGCATTTTTTCAGTGAACGAGCATTCACCAAAAAAACAACCGAGCTCCATGCAAAAAAACTGATAATCACGCACACTGGAGGTTCATGTGGCCCATAATGCAACATCATCCCAGCCAACGCCCATTCCCTTTGCATGCAGGAAGAGGCCAGAACACAGCCAGTATCGGTCTAAGTTTTAAAATACAGTACGGGACCATTCCTGCCTTTAGCAATCTGCAAGTTTAGCGCAAAAACGCATGATCGCATCAGCAAGCCCTGACTTAGTTATTGCGCTGTGTTTTAGATTTGCGAATCCTGTGGGGATGTGAAATGCAATCGTTGCATTCCTCTTGCATAGATGTGTGCATTTTTCAGCTGGCGTTGTATCTCTTGATCCGCGTTGTGGATAATTATTATCAGCAACATCCGATTGCCCCTCAAGAGCGTTGCTTGCTTTCGGCGATTTTGCAACGTTTGCTACAGGCCGCAAATCTAAGCTTCCTGGAGCTAATCGAAATTTTGCGGATATCGCTGCGACCCTGCATACCAGAGCTCTACACTCTCTTCCTGGCAAAGTTGGTCATTTTTCCCGCGCATTGTTTTATCTTCATTTTGTGCCTTTCCTAAATCCACGTTTATCCAGTCACTTTAACCCACTGTTATTCTAA